GCCTATGACACATTTTAGAGCATTTAAAATATACACAATACGAGTAAGTTGAAAGACTAGTTACTAAGACATGTATTTAGAAACAAATTTGATTTACTGATCAAGAAACTTTCTCATTCCTTTTCATGCGCTAAATTCTGGAGATTTTTGCACTTTCAGTTGGACGCAGCAAGTGACCTGTAACCAGACTTTTCTACGATAACCGAATAAATTCACAAAGGTGTCTCGCAGAAAGAAAAACAGAAGAGGAGTAAGCAAGGCTGAAAGAAACTCATAAACCATGCAGTAAGAGAAACAAGATATGTTTTGACAGCGCCGAAATACAAACAAATGAACAATTCCAAATATACAATGCCCTTTGATTTACTTACAATTTCCTTTCCATTTCTCAAGACGCGCAAGTGCATCGGGAGAACGCGAAACATGGCTGCAGAAAAAAAGGTGCAGCCATGGATTTAACGGAGTTACTATTGGAAATTCTGTTAACGCTGTAAGTGTCAGCGCAGAATAACTCATGACTCATCTTTACTGCTCTGTTCGGATATTTCTCAAGACACCCGCGAATCTAAAACGTCACAGCCGCTTACTCTCGTCTGAACACTTTCACTGACTTATGATAGCCCGTGAAAGATTTCGGTTATTGCATTAAGATTGATAGGCAGAATATTTTAGGATGTTTCTGTTAATTAACTGGCACAAAAACAAATAAAAATCAGCAAAACGGACACGTTTGTGTTAGCAGGCCATAAAAATTATGACGGCGTTCCACACGCTCTTGGAACCCACGAACACTGCTGGATTTTGTTGAACCGCTCCTCATGGGTGCAAAATTGGTCCGGATACAATTTTTGGTAATCCAAGATCACAATGCATTTGCTTCAATCAAGGGGATTCTTAATAAAAGGAAACGTTGAGGAGTTTTGGAGAAACATCTTATACTCTTTTGATAAATTGCAAAAGGGGCTTTGAAGGGTCAGTTCTTCCTCTTCCGTCAACATCATCTCAAATCGTAGTTTAGGATGACATTAGGCTTTGTTGTGAATTATTCACTGGATCATATCACAAAGGTGTTTACGTCATTGACAAGGAATATTCTTTTTGCGCCAATTTTTTTAATTTATGTCAAATCCCAACCTCCAGTAACACAGCTATATAGTCATGACCGTCAAAAATTGTTGGACAAGAATTTGATCAGAAGCTGGATTACAACGGTAAACTACCGAAAGTCCAAACCAGTAAAACGGGATCAGTTTTGAACGACTTTTTTTTAATAGCTTTAACCCCTATATCTACATCTACATATTTGAGTTCACTCTGGGAATTGCTCGAAAGACATTTCACGGAGGGTTCAACGATTCCCTTGTCACTGCACCAAGATATATCCCATAGCTTTGATGTGCTTCTCTCCATTGTCTGATGTGTGACCTTTTATTGCAGAATTTCCACAAGTGATGGTGTCATCCTGATATCCTCCTGTTCCAAAGCCGATTCTGGAATCAGTGGTCGCGCAGTGTTTTTCATTATTTCCAAGAATACCAATTCTTGCTTTGGAAGAGCCTTTGGCACTGCCCGCAGCATTGAAGCCTTCCTTGTTACAGTTGGCCTGTAAGGAGGATTGTGAGCCGATCAACTTCTTCCACGTGTTGCGACCCAGTGCAGTGTTGCGGTATTTTCCATCTGCGATCAGTGAGTGGAGAGAGCTTGCTTGCTTGTTGATGACAATAAACCTGAGCTGTTGGTTGATTTTCATACCGAGGCATATCTTGGAGAAGGGTGTGTTCCAGTAGGTCGGTAATTTGGTCTCCTCTGAGTCAAAGCCAGTCTTTCCTCCGGGAAGGTTGAAGACATTTTTGTCGCTCCAAAACTTGGAATCATAATGGAAGGTTTTCTGAAACGTTGAGAAAAGGAAAGTTATAGTGGTGTATAGTTTACAACAGTGGTATTCCTTGATAGCAAAGTAACATACCTTTTTGCCGTCAATCTTCATGGCCAAAGTCCATCCTCCATCTCCGCATCCAAAGCTCCCCATGTGACAGTAAACAGGAACGTTTTGTGAACCAAATATTAGGGGGTAAACTTGACTCTTTGTCCACCTGTGGACAACAGAAATACCAGTGTTCACAAAATTCATTATCGCCATCGTAAAAAACAAAGAGGAAGCGCCCTAAAGAAGATCAACTTATTTTTAATATAACAGTACAGGATATATTTGCATTAATTTTGTTATGATTGTATCACTATTCATTTACTTGTATTTTTCGTAGTGTTCCTTGCACGAAGAGGCTGGTGAAATGAAAAGAACAGTGCAGGTTAATATTTAAAAAATTAGCCTTTATCATTCTTAAACGCTTAATACTAATTACGAAGAATGGAAAGCAGGGTTTGAAAACAAAAGCGACATGGCACCGTTTGTGTTGCTTTTGAAACAATCGCACATGTTCTTTTAACCCTCAAATCAATAGCGCGAGTTGCTATGCAAGACACTTAAATTCCTCCAGTCTGGTTGGAATACCTGGAAGTGGAGGAGAACGATTCTTCATTGCTGCAGTAAGACTTTCGAGTCTGGTTTGCAACATTTTCATGGCATCATTGGCGTCCGAGTCTTGAATCATGTTACAGATAAGGTTACAGGCCATCATTTGGTCGTATGGTTTGGCGCAAGCTGGAGAGGAGGATTTGTCTCCATTTACGGTTAGCAAAAGGAATACAGCGGTGATACAAACTTGGAACAGCCCACTCATTTTGACGAGTTGTCGTTGCTTTATGAGAATAAGAGGACTCTGTGAATCTTTTGTCTGTCATGAGTAGCTAGCTTGTAACCTTATGTATGTGTATCAGCAAATGTTTACCTGACTCGAAAATATTCTTGATGTTGGCGGCAATCCAATGACCCTGTTCCAAGTTTTAACCCAATAGTCAATATTTAGTTTTCATAACTTTGATGAAGTTATTTCTTTCGTTCGCTTTAGTCTTTTTTCTATTTTATTTCATCAGGTACCAAAATTTATTTACATGGCTTGCTTCTTCCTCGGCTGGGTAAATTAAATAGTGTACTAGTAAGCCAGTGCAAAGAAAACAGACAACCCGTTTCTCCTAAAAAAGGTTAATTCCAGTTGCAATTTCGTATGCTCGGTTCAGTTTTTGACATCAGTTCTCGTATCAAATCGATATCAGAGCTTTTAAGGGCTGAGCACGCAAAGGAAGCCTTTTTAAATCCTGATGCGGATTGCAAGCTAATGTTTATTGTATTTTCATCGTCACTTCTTAGCCTCGCCGATTTTGTTTCGTTATTTCTAACCTTAGTTCTGAGGGATGCCTCTTAACATGCGAAATAACTAGTTACGGAGGAAAGTCATCGAAAAATATCTTTGGCATTGGACTCTGGAACATTATCCTTGAATCGTCAAGACTATTTCTTGCACGGTATTCATGAAGTAGGTTGTTACTATTTACAATTTAAGTAAACTTAATCCATTGATTTGCAAATTTACTGCCCGCTAAGTCGATGACAAGTTAATTTCTATACGAAATGTACAGTACACGGCCAAGAAGCGTATCCATATATATCATATGTGGGTTCTTGGGCTCTGCATAAGGGTAAAGTAGCCTCATGGTCTTGGGCATGCGACATCAGGCCAAATTTCAAACACAGGGCACATTTTTCTTAATTCAAACAAAGCTTGGCTAGTAGATAGGAGATCTGTTCCTCGCCGACGTGAATTGGTCTGTAAACTTATTTGTGTACATACAAATGTGACATTAATGCTATTAGCTGTTAGTAGCGTCTTAAAGTATTTCAGAACATTATAACTACAATATGCATTGAATAAAAAACTTTCATGTACTTGCTGATTGGGTTATCAGCTAAGTTCTCCATGTTTTTCTTGTTCTAAGTTTGCAGTTTCATCATGAAAACACTTTCCGTAAGACGCAAGCAGCGAGATTCTTGTAATCAGACTTCTTTATGGTAACCGAAAAAAATCACAGGCGGGAACTGGCAGAAATTCTAATAGAAAAGTGGTGAGCAAGAATAAAAGAAACTAATTAACTACGTGGAGACAAAAAACACAAGATGAAGATGTTACAGCGCCAAAATACAAACAAATGAACTCTGCCAAATATGAATAAATTGAATACTTTTATAGTCTTAAATTTATAGTCTTTTTTCCGTTCTGGCTCAAGATGATTGGGTAGGGAGAATTCGAAACATCTGTATTATAAACTGAAAGGACTGTCATGGATTTTATGGATTTTCTATCGAAAAGTGTTTTTTTTGTAAACCTTTTCTAGTTTTTAGATTAGGTTATGGAAACACAAATGCCCGTAATCTGTTCATGTTGTCCTTCAGCAGCATAATTAAAACAAAACTGTTCTAATGATTACATCCCTGATGATGCCGTTGATCGGCGAAAGCTTGGATTTTAGATTTTACTCATTAGAACAGTTTTACAAATGCCCGTATTTCCTGCTTCTGTTAAGATATTTACCTGAGACACGCACGAATCTTAAAAGTCACAACGGTGTTTAACTAATAATCCCGA